AAATATGGAATCGCCGATCAACTTATTCAGACCCTTGTTATTTGATGGCCTACTTTGGGTCAGACCTGGACCGTGTCCCAGTGGTTCAGATCTGTTTATTCTTGGGTTCATTTGTATTGGTCTGCATTTGTGATTGCTCGATTCTATTGACCGTTGGTGTATGGTTGATCCTGATGCTGATGACGGAATCGTGCTAGATCCAGAGACCGGCATCGTAGATTTACAGCTTTCCCCGTGGTTTGATTATCAGTCATTCGAGAGCGTGCCCGAGTACGTTGAGCGCGTGACTCATCAGATCGTTGACAGCATAGAGAGTAGCTTGGGAATCAGTTCGTGGCATCGGCGTTTCCATCCAGATACACCGCTCCATCCTAATTACGCCGCCCTCGGTGGAGAGCTTCCACCCCTCATATTTGGCGTCGTTGAGCCACCTCCAGAAGATCCTCCCGTTGATCCAGTTCAGCCCGACGAAGGTCTAATTTTCTTTCGCCCAAATATTTTCGGAACTGCTATTGCTTGCATGTTGCTATCAATATTATTATCAATCGTATTTGTGCTGTATTCAACTTGATTAAGTGAGCGAGCGAATCTGTTGCTAAGTATTTCTACTTATCTAAATATTACAATTTGAACTATATTAAGAGGACGAATCATTACATCTATTTTTCTGGATAATTCACAAAAGATTCGAACTTAGTACATTGCAATTTTTGCTTAAAATCCATCGAAAGCTTTTTCTGGATAATTCACAAAAGATTCGAACTTAGTACATTGCAATTTTTGCTTAAAATCCATCGAAAGCTACACTTTATTCTTGAGCTTCCTGCCTAGATCGATCGCTGATTTGGCGAAACATTGTTGTCGTTAATCTTCATACCTGCATCACATTGTTTCGCATCAAATTCATTCTCTTGAATTTCATCTTGACATTGCCTCCTTTTGGGGCTCTATTCCACCATTTCCATTCGAGGTTGTTTGTTGCCTATATATTGAATTGTGCATTCAATGAAAAAATGACCAGTGTTAGGCAAACAAGACAGTGTTCGCAGAAGTAGCGGATGTGGTCATAACGTGAGACATTGCGGGAAAACAACCTTAGAAGAAGAGAGGAGATTTGGTGAAAAAGTAAAAAGAGAAGAGAAAGGAGCGAACTTAATTGGAGTTCCCCAACTTAAGGGGATTTATTATTTCACTTATATTATTTCCCAAATCTATAATTTACCCCAACTTTAGCATGTCCCACAATACCCCCTTAAACTTTGCGTTTTCCTAACGGACCCTATGACGATATTTAATGGCTATCTAAAAAAAATACTTCTTTAAAATAAAAACCCTAATTTTGTGTTTTTACAACAATCGTTAAATACTATTAGGGCCTATTCACAAAAGTTCAAAGCTAGGACTACGGGACAGACCAAAGTATAGAATAATAAAATTTCAGCGGACTATTGTACCCATCAAAGTTAAAGGCTTTAATTAGAACCTGGTCCTTTCTCTTCTTTCTAGTGTTTCCTATGCTCTCTTCTCTTATTCTAACCTTTACCCGTGATTTTCACATCACTGCTGCAATCGCTGATTCTGCGAATGACGCCTTGCTCGTCAACCAATGATCATTCTCTTATTAATACAGTTCAACAACGAGGTGATGCCAAGATGAATTTGGAGGCAATGATTTAAGTAGATGATTGGAGATCTATCATTGACTAGATTACCAATTAGTATTTTTTTCATAACTCCTCTTTACCAATTTTGTATTTTTTGTTACTCCAACGACTTTTGGTATTAAAAGTACATCAATGCACAATTAGCCATTTTCATTGTTGTCAGCGAAGAAATTGTTTGGTAAATTGCATGTGGCTTCACGTGATTAAATTTGAAAGGCTTAGAACATTGATGCATCTGTGTTTAAATGACATGGCAAGATTTAAGTGTCGTGTCAAAAATCAAAGACTGTTAAAGCAACCCTGAATTTGCCAAATTGCTCTATTTCTAAGTGAGAGAGAACTTGAATATGGCATATTGCTACAACTTGAGGCTTTAACTACTCAAATGTGGAGTGGGCATGATTAATTTCTTATTGTGTTCCTTCCTTTCAACAACTCTATATTAAATTTGTGCCAATATTATAAAAAGCGCTAGGTTGGCTAGACGCTGGACCTAATGTCTAGAGCCTGGGCGGCTGGGCGGAAGCCTGGGCGGCTGGGCAGAAGCCTAGGCAGGGACAAGGTCTTTTCCTATTTTTTAGTTTTCACTTACAATTACTGGTAGTAAATGCCTGTGTTATAGAAGGTCTAGGTGCTGGACTAACACCTAGACAGATTTCTTAAGTGGTGATGGAGGAGGTTTTGCTGAAGGTCGGGAGAGATAGAGGAGATGTTCATAGTTAAAGTTTGAAGGAGGTTAGAGGAAGTAGAGGTTGTAATGAAGGAAATCACGAACAATGCATAAAGGGTGTAGTCCATGTCAACAGACCATGCTCCCCTAGGCATTCTCAAAACCTAGGTGGGCAGCTTAGGTACCGTTTAGGTACTAGGCACTAGGTAGGCGGCCAAGATATGGCTTAGTCCTAAGCATATGGATAGGCGAGCTAAGCGAAGACTTTAAAAACATTGATTTGAGCCATAATTTTGCCCTAAAATATGAATATGATATCTAATTTAAGATACCTCAATGACTTTTGCCATGTCACCATGACTGTGCCACCTCGACAATTACAAATTCTTAAAAAAAAGTCATATGCAAGCTCATGACATCTTTTGCTTGAGATTGTTACCTACAGCGAAATTTCATATTAATTGCACATTTCATAGACTTTAATATCAAAAAGTCATCGGAGCAACAAAAATACCAAATTGGTAATGATGTGTTACAAAAATACCTAATAGGTAATTTAGCCAAAATCAGCTTTGCTGCCAGACAATTCTACAATATCCTTGTGATCACAAAAGCGATGAAGATTCCTAGTGTATGGCACTTAGGCGTCCATCTCTATACCATAAACATCAGCGTGAATCTGGCTAAGATGCTCAAAAAATAGGAAAACCATGATAGCGTCATGATTATGAAATGCAGTACAAGAGGACGACCTACCTCCTTTAGGAGAAGAAGACAACAGGGAACCAAAGCATGAGTTGAGTGCAGCTAAGCTGACAAACCTAAAGGTCAATGGACTCTTCAACATAGTTTAAGGAGATACGTTGCAGATGTTTCGTTGCACGTCGCCTAAGATTGTTAAGAAGCCAGAAAATGTTGATGCTGGTAATTTTCTCATTGACATTGTAATACTCTTACTCATCAAAAGTAAATTTCAACATTAGGATCTAAATTGTGGGGTATTTCATTATTTATAATACACTTGGTATCTAAGTAATATTAAATATGAGATTGCATACCAACTTGCAACTACAAGTAGCATGAAATATATTTATCTTTTTATTCAACCTTTGCCAAAAAAAATTAGTAACAATAGTGTCTAACCGTTGTAATAGACTACCAAACAATACCTCTCAAGGCATTTCACAAATAACACCTCACAAACCTACAAAAGGACTCGAACCAGCACCAAATATTGATTTCTCTGGTACACCAAAAAGCTGAGGTTGAACTGCTCGAGCCAAAACAATGAATTGGATAGCAAAAGAATTGGAGTTGCAACTAAGACATGAGCTCCTAATATTTTGTTTTCCTTAAATGTGATATATGTTGCATTGGAACTTCTATCATGAATAAATGCATGTGCTCAACACTTCTCATACTCATACCAAACACCGACACTCCATGGATACGCATTGAATACATGTATATATTTTTTTAGACATTAATCTAATTTATACTACATCTTTTAATTTAAAACACACATCATATATTTCTTAGTCGTATATCCTACACTCCACATTCACCTCGTAATCTATAATTCTATATTACCCTATATGGTAGAATTGCACTCTACAAAAGATTGTCTCTTAAGGATATCCTAGATTCTAGACTTCTCGAGAAGTACTGTTAGGCCAAAGAGATGCTGATGACAGAGAGCGCGAGGAGAAGAGAGGAGTAGAATAATGGAAGGTCAGCCAATCACAATGCAAGGAGATCAATCATATTTACATGTAAGAATAAAACTATTACCACAAATAACTGTTATTAGGTTTTGATGATTATGAGGCGACAGCTCGTTTAGCAAAATGAACCAGCAAGATATAGAAGTGGTGAGGCTCACACTATTTGATGTGAATAGAAAGATAGAGCGCACCATCTATCTAGTGGTAGCTCATATAGCAAAATGAGTTGTCACCTCATACCCATTATTTCCTTATTATTATTAATATCGATATCATCTGAGTGGGGTTTATTGCTTTATAGTTGTCACACTAGTGTGTGAATCGTGATTATTCAAGTCGATTACACATTAGTTCACTTGTGAAGAGTGAGCAATTGTTTAAGTATTATACTTATATGTCGTTAGAGCTATCCCTTGTCATGTGGGTTTATTAAATGTTTTTAACTAGAACTGTAGCATATAGGCAGCTTACATAGATTTCCACACTACTTGCAGTCATGTGCTTCATCTCTGGCCACTACACTTTCACCAAAACATTTGAGTAATATCAAGATTCTTTAAAATGTTATAACTTTCAAATTTAACAAAAGAAAGAATTTTTTATCATCATAGTCCCAAATAATTTAAGCCATCAAAAGATGAGTGTCTCCCTGTGATTCTTACTTCATGAAAATTAATCGTTGTAACTAATAAATCAATCCAGTGAATCCACTAAATCAATATGCATGTGTCTAGAAATCTAGGTATGACTATATTTACTAAATACTCAGAAGAATATTCGGGAATAAAACTTATATTCAACTCGAAAAATAATTGAATAGGTGATTTGATGACATGCTCAACTAATTCAACTTTTGGTTGTCACTTTCACCCATTTAATTATCAATTCGACAAGTACTAAGCTCAGAAGAAAGCTACTAGAACATGTTTAATAGCTTGTTACCTGCAAATCCTAGCAACACCAAACATCTCATCATCTAGCCCCCAACAATTGTGAAACATAATCTCTCTCGCTGACTCGCACATCGTGAACAAGGCCTTCAAGCTCTTTCTATCCCTCAACTGGCACCGCTGAATCTGAACCCTCTCGATCGTCCGGCATGAACCCAAGTGTTCTAAAGGCCCAGGATCCTCATCAACCTTCCTACAACTCTGAAGCTTCAATGTCTTCAAATTCCGACAAAAAGAGAGCCCAGCCATCCACCCAGCATCCATTCTGTTGTCAGACAAGGTCAGCTCCTCCAGCATCAAGCAACATCGGCCAATAGCGCTTATCCCATCATAGCTCCCTTCACACCCACTGAGCTCAAGCTTTACCAGCCGCTTGCAACCGTGGGCGAGGATTGTAAGCCCAATGTCGCTGACGCCTGGCCCACTGTAAAGACCTTCTACTGACCCCACCAGCTTCAAGATCTGCAGATTCCTAAACCCAGAGACAGAGCGAAGGGCGAGATCAGTGCAGCAGTGGAGTTCCATTTCTTGAAGAGTGTCACAGGCATCAGAGACTGGAAAAAGCCCCGACTTAGTCCCCGCCACCGACAGCCTCCGGAGGTTAGGGCAGCCTCTGGCAACAGTCTCAAGCCCTCGGTCGATGGAATCAGAGTCAATGAAGGGACAATCACCAACAGTAGGAAAAGAAACCTGGTCCATTTGGATGGAGACGTTGCCACGGCTGAGGACAACCTGGCCAGAGCAGTGGAGAGGCCGAGAATCCGAGGAGGAGAAGACGGCGGGTACAAGGTTGAGGTCGGTGAGATTGGGGAAGCGGGAGAGGAGGCGAGGGAGTGACGGCCATCGGCGAATGGGATAAGACGGGATGCGGCGGAGGCGTCCGGAAACGAGCCATGTTAGCGACGGGCAGCGAGAGAGCGGAGTCTCGAGGAGGGGGAGGGGAATTTCGGAGAGAATGAGGAGGATTGAGCTCGTCGAGAGGAGGCGGTGACCGTCGGCCCGGTGGGAGAGGGGGACTGCGAGCGGGAACCGGAGCGAGATTGGGTGCGGGAGCTGGAGCGGGAATGGGAACGAGATTTTGGGGGATCTAGGGTTAGGGTTTGGTCGAGCTGCTGATGATGATTCTGATGCTTATGAGGATGCATCTTGTGAAGGACATGCTGGTAATTGTTGGAATCTTTGAAGGGTCTTTCGGGGAACCAGAGGTCCGGCAAGCTTTTCAGGCGGTGGAGCGGGTGGTGGTTATTGTTTTGATGCATTAATTAGGGTTTCGCTGAAGGAAGCATCGCCGTAGATTTTTCCCTCTTTTCGACTTCTGCGGAGTCTTTTTCGGTCTTGGAGGTAAGGAGGTTTCTTTGTGGGCCAAGACTTTTGGGTTTATTCCGTGTAGATGAAGAGACAATAGGACGTGAAAATTGGGTTCTTTTTGTTAACATGTGAGGTGACGCCGTGACGGTGTGTTTGGATGAGGGGGCGAAAGTTTAAGGGCTTGGATATGCGCTCAGAATTTAGTGTAATTAAGTTAAGGTAACGTAATGGAGTACATAAAATTTATTTAGAAAATACGAAAGGAAAATCAAAGAGAACTTATTTCACCCGCAGGGCCGGCTCCGAGGGTGTGCGAAGGGTGCGACCGCACAGGGCCCCCGAAAGTTGGGGGCCCAATTTTTTTTGGTAAAATAGGTTGCTTCCAGCTCCGTGACCCTTCTCCTCCCCCAAAACCAGCTACTCAAACCAGATCTCTCTCTCCCTTTTCTCAAAAACCTTCTTCCTCCCCAAACTAGAACCCCCCCGCCCCCACCAACTCCAAGACCCTTCTTCCTCCCCAAAACGAAGCCTCCCAAAACGGTATCGAATCGACCTCTCTCTCCGCCACGACACCGCCGCTGCCAGATCCGCTCAAATCTGCGCAGATCCGCTCAAATCTGCGCAGATCCGCTCAGATATGATCTCCAATGGCGTCGAGAGAGGGGTTCGTCTACATCGCCAAGCTCGCGGAGGAAGACGAGCGCTACGATGGTAAGATCTCTCGATTCAGATCTACGGCAGCTCTACAAATGGACTCCGATTTCTCCATCAAAAAACGATGGAGTTCCTGCCACACCCGAGGACCCGTCGAAGAGGAAGTTTCGCTATGTTCCAGTACGATTCATCTGTTTTTTTAATTATAGGGTGAGAAATTTCATGCTTTGGCTGTTCTTTAAAATCCCTTTTGTTCATTATGATAATTTTTGTCGATTTATTTCATCCAAAATAGTAATTTAGGACGTGGGTTTTTCTTTTGGATACTCCTGGATGTAAATTTGGTGTTTTATATGGAATCATAACTTGAGTATGATCTGATTTTCGGAGTTCTTAAAAGAGTATTGAAGTGTTCCTGAATTCTTATTCGGCAGAGAGTGAGGTTTTATTTTGGTAGAGAACCAGAGGGATACTACTATTTTTTTGGGACATAGGAAATGTGGCTTCTTGGTCATTGGATGTGCGTGAGGTTCTAAGAAACAGAAATAGTTGAAACCATTTAAAGAGGATGAGCAAGAAGGTGGTTATTAGAGAAGTTGATTGCTTGTAGGAAGGTGATGACATTTGCCGATGACGGGCACTCGAATTTATTGATATTTTGTATATAGAGAAGAGCCATGTGTTTACTTTTCGCACAGGGCCCCTAAAATCTCAGAACCGGGCCTGTTCACCCGTCTGGGAAGTTTAATAAAATGAATGGAATGGAATGGAATATATGTAAACTTACATAACTAATTTTACATATTATAAGTGTTTTATTGTTAGAAGTTTGAGGGTAAAATGGCCTCACCATAATTATTTTTTTGGGAAAAATGTGTTCAGGCCCCAAAATGAGACAGTTCATGTGACCTGCCCCCTTGTATTTTGGCCCATGTGATTCAGCCCCAAAAAGTACTATTTAATATTTCAAGGCCCCTCCACGTCAACTGTATAAAAAAGAGATTGTATTTTTAAAATAAAACCCTGAAATTACCTCTCCACTTATCTTCCCCAGACGTCTGATCCATAAAATACATGGAAAGTCACGCCCATTAATGTGATCTGATGGGGAAAAAATGGAGGGAAATTTCCCGCCCTTTTTTGAACTCTATCATGAGCAATAACTCATGTTAGTTCTAAGTTATTTAATGTTAGTTCTAAGTTATTTAATGTTAGTTCTAACTTATTTTATGTTAGTTCTAACTTAGTTCTATTTCATGTTAGAGCTAATGTTAAGTAGAACTAATATAAATACTTTAGGCTATTTGGTCTAGTGGTAAACCTTATTTTATATTAGTTCTAACTTATTTTATGTTAGTTCTAACTTAGTTTTAATTCATGTTAGAGCTAACTTTAAGTAGAACTAATATGTTTATACCATGTTATAGTGGCTATGTTAGTTCTAGTTGAGCTCATGTTAGTTCTGGTGGTTCTCGTGTTAGTTCTAGCTGATTTCAAGTTAGTTCTACTTCCAGCTAATGTTGGTTCTAATATAAGCGTTAGTTCTAGTGGCTATATTAGTTCTAGTTGAGCTCCTGTTAGAACTGACACGATACCTGTTAGAATTGATACTAGAGAAGCTAGAACTAACACATCATCAAGTAGAACTAACATGGCGTTTAGACCTAACAATTACGCTAGAACTAACAACTTAAATAAATTAGAACTAACACGATACCAGTTAGAACTAACACTGGAGAAGCTAGAACTAACACATCATTAAGTAGAACTAACATGGCGTTTAGACCCAACAATTATGTAGAACTAACGACTTAAATAAATTACAACTAACACGATATCTGTTAGAACTAACACTACAGAAGGTAGAACTAACACGGCATAAATTAGAACTAATATCGCGTTTAGACCCAACACTTACGCTACAACTAACGCATTAAATAAATTATAACTAACACGATACCAGAACTAACACTAGAGAAGCTAGAACTAACACATCATCAAGTAGAACTAACATGGTGTTTAGACCAACAAGTACGCTAGAAATAACGCATTACATAAATTAGAGCTAACACGATACCAGTTAGAACTAACACTGGAGAAGGTAGAACTAATATAGCATAAATTAGAACTAACATGACGTTTAGACCCAATACTTACGCTAGGAATATCACATTAAATAAATTAGAACTAACATGATACCTGTTAGAACTGACACTGGAGAAGCTAGAACTAACACATCATCAAATAGAACTAACATGGCATTTAGAACCAACAATTACGCTAGAACTAACGACTTAAATAAATTAGAACTAACACGATATCTGTTAGAACTAATACTGGAGAAGCTAGAACTAACATGGCATAAATTGGAACTAACATGACGTTTAGACCCAACATTTACGCTAGAACTAACGCATTAAATAAATTAGAACTAATACGAGCTGGTAAAAATTAGAACTAACATGAGCTGGTAAAAATTAGAACGAATTGCGATAGAACAAACATGAGCTAACTCTAGTTATTTATGCTATTTTTTAAATTCTATCATGGGCTAACTCATGTTAGTTCTAACTTATTTCAAGTTAGTTCTAACTTATTTTAAGTTAGTTCTAACTTATTTCATGTTAGTTCTAATGGCAAGTAAGAGCTAACTTTAAGTGGAACTAACATTAATACTTTGGCTACTTGGTCTAGTGGTAAAGCTTGGTAATTTGGAGAGGAGGTCAAGAGTTCAAACCCCTACACCTACAATATATATTTAAAAGTCTTTGATTGGGCCTTGGGCCTTGAGGCTCTTTGTTAGTTCTAAATAATTTTATGTTGGTTCTAACTTGCTCTATGTTAGTTCTAACTCACTTCATGTTAGTTCTAACTTGCTCTTTGTTAGTTCTAACTCACTTAAAGTTAGTTCTAACTTGCTCTTTGTTAGTTCTAACTCACTTCATGTTAGTTTTAACTTGCTCTTTGTTAGTTCTAACTCACTTAAAGTTAGTTCTAACTCACTTAAAATTAGTTCTAACTTGCTCTTTGTTAGTTCTAACTCACGTCATGTTAGTTCTAGTTCTAATTCATGTTAGTTCTAACTCGTTCTTTGTCTAACCCACTGCATGTTAGTTTCTAGTTCTAATTCATGTTAGTTCTAACCCATTGTATGTTAGTTCTAGTTCTAATTCATGTTAGTTTTAGGCTCTTGTACTCTTTGTTAGTTCTAACTCATTTTATGTTGATTGTAACTCACTTCATGTTAGTTCTAGTTCTAATTCATTCATTTTATGTTGATTGTAACTCACTTCATGTTAGTTCTAGTTCTAATTCATGTAGTTACTTTCACCAACATAAAATCTATAGATTGTTAGTTCTAGTTCTAATTCATGTAGTTACTTTCACCAACATAAAATCTATAGACAATTGGGAGTACAAAAAGCTCATACCTGATGTAGTTACTTTCATCATCCTTCTCAAGGGAATGGCTGTGCAAGGAATGTTGAAGGAAGTAGCAATAATTTTCTTTCAAATACTAAAGAGGGGATTTATGCCAGATGTCGTAGCATACTGCAGTTTGGTCGATTGCTTATGCAAGCATGGCAATCTAATTGCTGGGTTTAAACTTTATAGAATGATGCTTAAAAATGGTGTTCATCCTAATATTGTTGTTTATAATGTTCTCATAAAGAAGGTAGAACGGACAGAACTAACATGGCAGCGAACAGAACTAACATAGGAGATAACAGAACTATCATGAAAGCGGGTAGAACTAACGTAAGAGATGACAGAACTAACATGAAAGCTGGTAGAACTAACAGTCCAGTCTTCAGAACTAACAGTCCAGCCTTTAGAACTAACAGTTCAGCCCTTAGAACTAACATTCCAGCCCTTAGAACTAACATGACAGCCCTTAGAACTAACATCCATAGTTCTAATTGTCCTTGTCCCCCCTTTCAAATTCACAGGTTCTTAGATTCTTTAGTCGACTTTTAATCACATTGTCTTCAATTTTTAGCTAAATGTCAATATGCCTGAAGATTCAATGTGAGCTTTTGAAAATTTCTGTTGTTAATCTCTTATACAGAACTCTGTCAATCACCAAATCACACAAGAAAAAGACATTAAAGTAAAACCCAAACCGCTGTTCAAGAATCCAAGGAGATCTCATTCCAATTAA